AAAAAAATAAAATATTTTTTTCTCTTTAAAATACTTCATGATAATGTTGATATAAGTAGCTCCCCTAGCGTATGTAATTGGAACTATATAGATACAAAAGGAAACTGGTCGCCTTTTAACACGGTAGAAGCAAAGATGAACTAAGGTGAGCTATTTTCGATGTAATTTTAAATTTAGATGTTATATCTATGTAAATAATTGGTGTTTTAGGCTAATAATTTCAATCTATAACAACAATTAAATTAATTTCGGGGTATTATACGAGTATTTTGACTGTCAGATACTTAAGCTGATTTTTTACCGGTTTGTAATTCCGAAGTGTCAGCTTTTCAGTTTCGTACATTACGACGATAAGTTTACTTTCTATAATTAAAATTTACAGGAAAATATGTGGATTTTACGAATTTAAAACTTACATAAAACATTACGTCGCATTTAGAAAGAATTCTAATCTGTTAGTCATCCTCTGAAAGTGTCAATCGGCAAATATCGGTAGAAGTTACTTTTAAGTCAATATGAGTATATACTTGTGTGTATCATTTACATAAAAGTAATCTCTACTAATATATGAAGTACTGTACATTTCCCCATTTTATGCTGTAACTGTGTGTTTACATATAATTCTGTAAGAGTTAGTTTGTAAGAGAAGAAAGAGTTACAGATTGTAAAAGAAAAGAGTTTGAAGTTATGAAAAATTCATTTTTAAATAAGTTGTATTCTGTGATCAGAAAATGCCATTTCAAAAAACTTTCAGAACTAAATAAAGTTGGACGTATGTTGAATGGATAGATGTAGCCACAGTTTTGTCAGCATCAATCATATTTTCCTCCATTTGTTGATCTATTTCTAAACAAATGATATTAATTTCTTTATTTTTTTTAACTGTTTAATATCCTTTGCAAGTGATTTGAATTTCACATTCCTTTTTCTTCCTTACTTAACTGGCATTATTTCATATGAAGTGAAAATGCCACAGTGTTGTACTCTGTATCATAATGATTCTGTTTTATAATTATAGTTTGGTTTCTTATATATTTAACTAAAACTGAAATGTATGAATAATAAATTGCAATATATATTTATCATAATAATTCAGTTTCTAATATAAAATATATAGTGTAATTACTGAAATTTTTATTCGAGCATGATATATAGATATTTTTGTTTTTTTGTATTGAAAGAATTGTTATCTATATCATAAAAACTATTGTTGAAATTAATAACTGATAAAGGCAATAAACTTGCAAAAAGAGAGTGCATCAATGTTCTTAAAAATTAGCTGTGAATATAGGTGTATAGTTCTTTATGTGCATATCAGATGAAATTATATATCTACTATATATCATATTATAGTTAAATTTTATATTATATATATATAAAATATAAAATTTTATCTAATAGTAAATAAATATTATATAATGATATATCATATATTTTAATGTGTACAAATATATGTACTCACAAATTTATATTTTTAATCAAAGAGACAATATAGAACATGTGACATCTATGTTTTTTTATCAGGAATGGTGACTCGTATTGAGTCTGCATGCCACATAGCAAGCATAATTATGTTAAAAAAAATGTTTATGCATGCCAAAGTTGTAGATTTCAAATAATGATATCAAAGCCAATAATGATGTTTAAATTAAAGACGTGAAACGAACATGCTTTAATTAGAATAAATGTAAAGAAGGTAATTGAAAAATGATGATGTGATAAACCAAAATTGGGTATGTTATAGACCGGATGACATCTTTCAATGTGTCACAAGTTTGTCACTCCTGCTATATATCATAGTTGTATCTTGAACAAATACTTTTGTTTATCTAATATGATGTCTCAAATTCTTGTGAACAAAAAGATTTTTTAGATTAGGAAAATGACTGCTTTGAAACCAGGAATGTTTATCAATTACAGACCAATGTTGATTCCTGGTAATGACTCATCAAAAATAAGTGTGACTGAGAAAATTCAATAATTCTCTTTTGAAATTAAGATATTGAATCATCCCATCTTTAAAACATATTTAAAACAGGAATTTATAAGAAATTAAAAAGTTTAAATATTTACAGAAATAAAAATATTTATTTTTTTGATTGGCTATCATTTTTGTTCTCTAAAGTTTTTAGATTTGGTATTCTTTTGACTGTTTAGATAAATTTTTCAGAAAAAGAGGAATAGAACTATTAGATATCAGCATTTAAATTGAGAAATTATTGATACAATTTAATTGTGTATTTTAAAGTATTTTTAAAAATTACATTGTACAAAATAATATATGATAACATATACACTACATAAAGTATCTTTCATTTATGAAATATGTCTAAATTTTAATTTTTACTGATAAAACGTTAAATTTCTAATACTTTAACTATATGATTGTAACTAATTTGTTTGAAAAATTGTTGAAAGTTGTATTGTTCATAATTTTATAAAAAATCAATTATGAGTAATACAAAATTATTTTTGTTTGCTAGCATTTTGTTACTCTACAATCTATTTTATATATTATATTTCTGTAATTTTTTAGTTCTTTTCAATTGAAACAAAAAAGAATTACAGAAATCTTTTTTCTTATTAGAAAGTTATTAGAAAGTAGACATTAATATTCCTCTTTATTTTTACAATGGAAAATGTAATTATAAATTACATAAAATGTAATTATAAATTACATTTTATGAATTTTTATATGATGTAAAACTTTTGTACTTTTAAGAAAAAGATTGAAAATAAAAAATATTTTTCTTATAAAAAAAAATCTTACAGTAGATGTAATTTTATACAAACTTTATAGTTTATTATATGAACTAATATGATGTAATATTTAGTGTTAATTAAGTCTTAAAAAATAAAACTATTTAGCATATTATGATTTAAAATGTTTTCAATTGCATCTGTCATAATTTCCTTGTTTGTTTTAATATTACTTTTTGTTTTAATTTACATTGAGGAAGATCAATGCTTTTGTATTTATAGTAGAAATTTTTCTCTGTTATAAATTTAACCTTTTTCTTGTGGAAATTTCTGAAGATACGTTGAATAATAAATTTGAAAACTCAGATTTAATAAGCACAAGTTGGCTAGTGCTTATTGAGGGAATATTTGTTGGTATCTCTCGTAAATACTTGTTCTTTCTATTAAGTGCATACTAATGATTAATATGATGGCATTTAATCAAAAGCAAATAAAATTGCCTTTTAATTAAAACAAGATAAGTCAACATTTATAAATTAGTTTTCAATTATTTAAAATGGGAAATAGCAACTTAAATCACAGATAATAAATATAGCCTATATCTATGTTTCTTTTCTGTTATGATATGTATTTATCAGAATGATAAAATTTAACTTGTTTCAAAATACTGTTTTTTTTTATTAAGACTATTATAAAATATTTATAACATAATTGCTAGATTAAATTTTGGTATTTTATTGTTAATGATTTAATGATAATGCATATCATCATTACAACATCACTTACATAACTTAAAATCTGTTCATAATACCAGTAATGAAATTTACTGGTATTTGTTTCTGTATTATATTAATTAATATTGTAGAAATAATAAATTTTAGTTCTTTTTATATGCTATAATAAATGCAACATAAATTCAAAAATGTTGTATTATATTTCAGTGTTTGTATCCATGGGTCATTAGCCTGTTCATTTTTTCAAGCTAAAATTTGTTAAATTCTAGATTTAATATTTTCAGTGACAAATTTTAAATATAAATAATTCAGATAATAATGATAAATGTGTGTGTAAAGTAAAAAATCTTATTGTAGTTTTATCTTCTAAAAAAAACTTTGGTGCTAATTAAATTAATTTTTAAATTAGTTATACTATAATTTTCTTCAGCAGATAAGATTCATGTGTGTACAGGATGTTTCAAAATTAAAGCAGGAAATCTTAGGAAAAGGTGAATACAAAATGAATATTTAAAGAAACTAAAATAGAGAATTTGTAATAAAATAAGTTAGTCATATAACTACGGTTTAAACTTAAACTGATGCACATATACCAGTATGTTGTATAAAGTTTTTCTCTGTGCACAACAAGAGATTAATACAGTATCTTATAAACGGCCCTTTGATGTTCTAGAACAGTGGTCGCCAACCAGTGGTCTGTGAACCACTGATGTGGAGAAATTTGGATATTGATGAACTCAAGATATGCAAAACATGAAAGAAATGCAAGATGCTTGATTGCTTCTTCTCACTCATTGGGGGTTTTTATTCAAATCTAAAACCAAACATGAAATAACTGTTATCAATAAATTAATGAATAATCAACAATAAATAATGTTGTAAGCGCAATTGTTGCCCTTTGTGGAAAAGAGCCAAGAATCCATAAACTTATTTCAAACTATAATTAAACAAGTGCATTTTATATTAATAAAGTAAAATGGAACTTTTGTGGTCATTATTCTGTAGATGTTTGTATTATTTAAAAAAATTTATGATCTGCAGGATTAAAAATTGTGAGTTTAGTGGTCCATGAGGTCAGAAAGGTTGGTGACCACTGTTCTAGAATGTTCAGAGTCAGACAATTACAATTCAGTATTAATAGATATTGATTCCCATATGAAAAGTAACTGCTGATTCAACACAGCTTCTCTGACAATGTAGGAAAATCTTGCATGTTTATTTAATAATGTTGAGATTTTAACATTGAAGTTAGAATGTTTCTTTCAGTTTCACATTGTATTTTTAATCTTAAGAGAGCCTAATAATGTGTTGACATGATTCATTTGGAGACAGTTTTAGAATATCAAATAAATTTTTAATTATGTTTCTAACTTAAAAGAACAGTTTACTAGAATATATTAAAGTAAATATATTTTAATAGTAGTTTTCTTATCATTTATTATTTATTTAGACTAACTAAATTATTTGAAAATAATTGTTTATGATAATTTTATCTGTCTGCCCACATTTAAGTTGATTTTTTGCATAAGAAAAATTATCAAATGCTTCTTCATAAATACAGTTATTATGTAAGTTAGTTTTTTTTTTTAAAAGTGGCTTGATGAAGTCTATATAATAATCTTTTCTGACTATTTTAGTCTGTAAAGGCTAAACAAAGTAACAGAAGAATCTTGTTGGAAAGAAACTGACTTTACCAATTGGTGTAATTATGAAAAAATGCTAGAAAAAATAATGTATACCATTATCTGTCGGTATTATGTAAAAATAATTTATTTTGCAAGTACTTTCGACAGTACATAATTGTCCTCTTCAGACGGAATCGTTCATAGGGAACAAAACATTTGAATTCAAATATATACTGTCGAAAGTACTTGCAATATATATAATTTTTACATAACATATACTACTGTCTATCAGTGTTATCTTTTTCTATTAATATTTGGCATGTATAGCTGTTTAAAACTATATTACTAACATGAAAAAGCTTTTGTAAACATTAAATAAAATTATTAAAAATAAACTATATAAAAATTTATCTAAAAAATTTACATCAATTTTCAAATGGAATCTATTTAAGTGAAATAAAAGCTGTTTCAAATGATTGAAATATTTTGTGTATTGTTAAAGAAAATAACTAACTGTATTTCAAATATTAATTTCTTATTCAAAAAAAATTAATATTTTGAAAAATATTTATTTAAAGAAAATTTAATGATAGTTACTGCTTAGTGCCCGTAGGATAGAAAGAGATAAAAGTGAAAAATAGAAACTACTGGTAGTAACTATGGATGAAAGCAATTTAAATAGCTTCATTTACATGATTTATGATTTTATTACAGAAATATAAATTATGCATGATTTATTTTATAAGAATTTTATTTTATTATTTCAGTTTCTTAATGAATCATTTAGAAGATAGAATAATACTCCTAAACATTTTGAAATTTCTGTAATAATATGGCAAAATGTCTGTTGGTGGTGAAGCCCTTGTATACAACTGCCATTCTTTGGAACAATCACATCATAATATGACAAATTATTCACAAAGTGAAACATTGAATATTGATAATGTAGTTGATAATATTGATAACGTTGCAATGTTGTATCATGCTCAAACAAAGACATCACCTATAACTTCATGGGTGCCAGGGTCTTCGTGCCAAGCCTTACGCCATGCTGTTTCTACACTTAATCGTCTTGATGATTTCAACTGTGAAAAAATTGATTCTGGTTTTTTCTCTGAAGTATTTAAAGTAAGTGCTTTTTTTATATAATAATTCATTTATAAAATATACTTTTTAACTATCTGTACACCATAGTTGTAAGAATTTTCATTATTCTTTGTGTGGTACTTATAATGATGTATTATGTACTGTACTGTACATTCTATACAGTATTAAGAATAACATAATAATTTTTTCTTATGTAGTAATAAGTGAAAACTATTTTAATAAAGATACAAAAAAATAAATTTTTAGTTTTCTCTTGCCAATGATATCTATCTCAATGTTTCTTGTAAAACTTTAAATATTGAATCACCATGTCATATGACCATCATCCCTATTATTAGCCCACCAATTTGTTGGCAACTGGCTATCTTTTTGTAAAAAAAATATGGATTTGCTATGAGCAAAGTAATTCACATTGTGAAGTGAATGTATTTATGCTTGTTACAAATTTATATAATTTTGATTAGTCATTATGTTTTATCAGTTATGATGTTCTAAATAATAGGATCATTGTATATTGCTAATTGGAACAGTAAATGAATACAGTTATTTTAAAAATATCGTATTTTTTAAAACTATTCAAAATTATTCTAGTTTTCTTTTGAAAAAACTTTAAATATAATGAATTCTTATTAGCATCTACACTATTTAGTGTCAATTATTGGTTAGCATGCCCCAGTGGTTACCACCCCCTAAGAAATCCTGTATTTAGTGTAGGCCTGCACCCAGCAGGGTTTCCCTTAAGCAAAGTTAACTGTTAATCAACTTTTTCTAGTCCAATGTATATATTTAGTGTACTAAACAATATCAGTTAACATCAACATCCCTTTCACTTATCTGTCAAAATTAATATTATTATTGCTTTTATAAAGTTTCAACAAAGTGCAAAAAATTTACCTGGTTTCTTGGTCAAAATTTCAGGATTTTTTTAGGAGGTTTAAGAAGTTAGGAAATTAAAATCCTGGCTACATGTTTAAAATATGGAACTACTGTGTTTTTAAGGTGGCACAATATAAATTAATAAGTATTCTTTTAAATAACAAGCAAAAGATAATTGAAGGTTCTGATGTTTTTTAATGTTTTAAAGTATCTGAAAAGTGATTGACAAAAATTTATTTAAAAATAGAAATTGCAGTCTTACAATAAAATGTCTAGTTTAATTAATTTTTAATATTTTATTTATGCATTTTAGCCTTTTTGAGATCAAAATTATATAATACTTCTTAAATTAAATTATTGATTAATATCAACATATGTGATCTCACAAGTTGATACTAACAAGAATCTATTGTACATACATATTAAGAAATGAAATTTTATTATTGCATTTTAATTTTGCATAAAGTATTAATTTCAATTTAACTTATTATTCTTACAATAAATGAATTTTTTTATAGTGAAACTTAATTATAAAAAAAAATTATAAAGCATATTTCTAAAATCAGTGAAATTCTTAAAAATATATTTTCATATATAAATCATCTGTACTTGGGAACAAATTTCTCAAACGTTTAAACTAAAACAGTTTTGGATTTTGTTTTTTAATGTCAATAAATTTTTTTAATAGCTCCTAAGCTAAACATTTAAACATATTCTAATGTAAATTTAAGCAAAAACAAACCAAAATTTCAGTTTAAGAAAATTAATTCTTCCATTTACTTTATCAATTTATTACCAACTTTCTCCTTACAATTATTTCTAAGTAGTAATAATATTTTTTCAATTTNAGGTATAAAAAGTATATATATACACAAAAAATATTGAAATACAGAATATATAAAAATAACATTCATAATATATTAATATATAAAAAAGATTTCTTTTTAAAAAAAAATTGAGAAAAAATAGTATTTACTTTCTAAGTTATTTACTTATATTTTTAAAAATATAGAATAGTTTGTTTATATTTTATTATTTTATTGAATTTCAAATTATATTTTGTTATTTATTATGATTTATTACTGTACATAAAATGCAATTTTTGAAAGAACTAATATTTTTCAACATTTTTTTCTTATTCAAAAGTAATACACAAATAAAATACATTGCATATTTATAAAAATCATTGTTTTTAGTCAATATTTTATTAACATTTTTTAATGTTAATATCATATTGTCATTTATAAATTCTAGAAAATTATTAAAATATTAAACTTGCATTTCACATTTCTAATTATTTTTTGATGAATGTAGCTAGCTTTCTCATTTGAAATAACTTTTAAAGTCATTGAAATCAATTGAATGAAATTTTTATAAATGTCTAAAGTATTTTTGGATTGTTTTTAAAATTTTTTTTCTGAACATTCTAGAGGCAAAATTTAATATTTTCATTTTAAGTTACGAACGTTATAGAAGTAAGCAGAACAATAATTTATTTGTCAAGTTAAAGATGTGTGTGTGTTTTGTGTTTTAATTTTGTTATATAATAAAAAAAATATATACACAGGAATTAAACAACTGGAAAGAATCCATAAATTTAATTAAGCTTATTATTAAAGTTGGAAATCAAGCATTTAAATTATTTTTTAAGTATATAATTTGAAAATTTTATTATTTATTAATAAGAATTAATTAGATAATCTTGAATAAATACAAAAAAAATTGTTAATAAAAATTTTAAGATCATCTTTCAGTTAAATTAAAAATTCATTTAAACTATATTAATTATGCTTTTCTCTTATTTTATAGTATTACCATAAATATCTTTAAAATGAAATTGTCATAAAACATAATAAATTTATAAAACTATAATTTAAATTAGTTTTACAATTATAATGAATAAAATTAAATTAATAAATAGTTTTTGAATTATTTGTTGTTATTTTTTTCTACTAAATATACTAAATATGTAAAATTATCTATTTCTTAAAGATAAATCTCAATATTTTTTACAAATTTCAATTTTAATACCTCTTCCTGGAGCTGAATAAAATTCTTTCATCTGTTTTTTGATGTTTTTTTTCCTTCTTCTGATTTATGTTTTGAAATCATACTATTGAAGGTTATCATCATCATGAGCAAATGGAAAATTAAAATATTTTATTGATACGTTGAGTATTTTCAAAAGTTCTACTTGAACTGAATGCTTTAATCATTTGTGCTATAATCTCACTTGTTTAAAGTATTAGCAGAAAATGACAATGGTGTATTGTTGTAAAGTTCTGAGATTTATCTGTATTTAATATTAAAGTTTATCATCTTAAAATTTAGTTTACTTTATATGTTAACATTTAGTTTTTATTTTCACACAGAATAATTTTATAAAAAACATTTTTTCTATAATTCATATCATCAAGTGATGATTTATCTATTGATAAGAACCATGTTTATTATTTTAAATAACATTATTTTTAAATTTTATCAAGTTCTATTTATTTAAATGTAATAATAAAGTTAGTAAGAAAAGTGACTAAATTTCAATAAGAAAATGATGTGATATATTTGAAATAGCTATTGATGTATATATTAACTGAAAACTTAAAAAAAAAAGAAAAAAAAATATGTAACTGAACTGCACCTATGAAGATAGGAATAAAAAATACTTAGAGAAAACATGTTTATAATGACAGTATTATCAGCTTTGATCTGTACAGTACATATGTACAACATGCTGTAAGATTTCACAGAAATGTAAATCAAGAATGGGCAATTTTTTTAAATGGTGGGCCAAATAATTTCTGATGTATCTATATCAGAAATTTGGCTTTTATATATACTGTATATATAAAATTTTTAGTTTTTCACAGTTTACAGGATTAATAAAATAGTATAGAATGAAAAAAAATTATCATAAACATCCTTATTATTTATCTTTACTTGGACATATAACTGATTTTATTAAAGAAAAAACTAAATATTATATATACTGTATTTGATGAGAGATTATGGACTGAATTACACATGCTCATGTTCTAGAGTTGGTCCATAGATCAGACATATATATATATATATAAAAGGAATTTAGTTTTGCTGTTAAGATCTGTTTTGAATACTAATGAATTAATCTAATCTTATGATCTAGAATATCTTCAGATTGGTGATGTTATTTATCAAAAATTCAATCTATTTTTAGTATGACTTTAAAAAATTCTTCTGCATAAATTAACTTATAATGAATTGATTTTTATACAGTTTCAGTACAAAATTTATTAGACAGATGTAAGAAGAAAATGATTGAATCAGCAAAAATATGAAATCATCTTTCTAATCAATACAAATCTGAAAAAAAAGTTTATGGTTTTGCTTCTTGAATTTGATTAAATTAAAATGTTTTATAGGTTACTTTGATGCACTAATATATTTATGTGAAACCTTAATTCAGTATTTAAAATATAATAAAAATTGCTTATTAATAAAATTCTGCAGTTTTTAAATTGGCTATTTAATATCAGTTTTAAATTTTATTAAGTTATTTTTGTTTTAATTAGCTCAATTTAAATTTTTTCAAATGAATAAATATATAGTTAATTAATAAAACATACTTTACTTTTATATTTCTGTGTTAAATTATCATCATAATCATGTAAATCTTGTAAATATAAATTTTAAGATTTATTTATTTGTAAAATGATGTAATTTTATTTTATAAAGAAAAGTTATTATATGCTCTCTAAATTAATTAATTTTGTAAACTTCAGAGTATACAAAAAGATTTTGTTACTGACATTGTATAGCTAATGTTTTTTAGTACTTGAGTAAGAGTATTGATTCATGATATGGGTTAATCATGTGATTTTATATAATTTTAAGACAATTTAATAAATAAGGATAAAATATATGATGGTCTAAACTGGTTTTTAAGTTCAATCTAAAAACAAATAAAATATCTGCTATCTTTTAGAATTTACAACATAAATTTTAAAACCAGTCTAAACTGTTATCTTAAAAAAAAAAAAAGAAATAAACTAGCAATATTGAATGTCAATTAAAACATCTTTCCATTTAAAAATTAATTTTTAAATGTTCAATGAACAACTTTTTTATAGAATTTTAGTACATTAAACCTGTTTATGGAATAGTTGTTT